CATCCACAAACTAGACCACCTGGGGCTCAACACCTCCCTGTGCAACTGGCTATTGGACTTCCTGATAGGGAGACCACAGGCAGTTCGAGTTGGCAGCAACACCTCTAGCACCATCACACTGAACACAGGGGTCCCCCAAGGATGTGTGCTGAGTCCCCTCCTCTTCACTTTGCTGACCCACGACTGCACACCATCATTCAGCTCCAACCTCTTCATTAAGTTTGCGGATGACACAACTGTGGTGGGTGCCATCAAAAACGGTGATGAGACAAACTATAGGAGTGAGGTGAGCAGGCTGGCCATGTGGTGCAAGGACAACAATCTCCACCTGAATGTTGAGAAGACGAAGGAGATTGTTGTGGACTTCAGGAGAGTGCACCCCCAGCATACTCCGCTAACCATCAACGGTGCTGCAGTGGAGAGGGTGAGATGCACCAAGTTCCTGGGTGTGCACATCTCTGAAGACCTGTCGTGGAGCCACAACACTGCATCACTGGCCAAAAAAGCCCAACAGCGCCTGTATTTTCTCCGCAAACTGAGAAGAGCAGGAGCCCCGCCCCCCATCATGCACACCTTCTACAGAGGCACTGTTGAGAGCATCTTGACGAGCTGCATCACCGTGTGGTACGGCACCTGCACCGTGTCCTGCCGCAAGACTCTACAGCGCATAGTGAGAGCAGCTGAGAGGATCATTGGTGTCTCTCTCCCGCCTCTACTGGACATTTATAACACCCGCATCACCAGCAAAGCAATCAAGATTGCAGGTGATCCCACCCACCCATCTCACAGCCTCTTCAGCCTGCTGCCGTCAGGGAGGAGACTGCGGAGTCTTCCAGCAAGGACCACCAGGCTCAAAGACAGTTTCTTTCACCAGGCTGTCAGGAGACTCAACTCCCTCCCTGCTCTACCATCACTCCCCCCCTCTGCCCACCCACCCCCCTTTGCCCCCTGACCCGAACCCCCAAACACATATTCACTCGTACATCCTGATCTCTGGACTGCACATTGCACTACATTGCACTATCACACTGGTTTAAATATCTTATTTCTTTAAATATTTTTTTTTTAAATAATATTTTACATTTTAAAAATTCTTGACTGTTGTTTATTTTAAGTCTATTACATTTTTGATTATTTATCTTGTGTTGATCGCCGATTGTTTATTGTTTATTTATGTCTGTTAATTGTGATTAATTTTTTAATTGCTTGGTTGCACCGTGGGACCAAGAGAGAGGACTGTAATTTCATCTGTGTTGTATGTCATGCATGTAACACACTTGACAATAAAGTGACTTTAAGACTTAAGAAAACCTATTCTCTCAACAGAATTGCTATTAAGTTGGTTTTGTTAACCTGTAATTTTGGAATGCGTTGATGTCTGCCCGCCAAGTCGCCCTTAAAAAATAGCGTGTTACTCGTGAAATTCACTTCTGATAGTGAGTGGGCCAGTGAGTGTGGGTGAGTGGGAGGGCGAGTGAGAAGGCGAGTGGGAGAGTGAATGAGCGAGTGGGAGAGTGGATGGATGAGTGGATGGATGAGTGGATGGATGAGTGGATGGATGAGTGAGCGAGTTATAGAGTGGGTGGGAGAGTGGATGAGTGAGGGGACGGATGAGTGAGTGGGCCAGTGAGCTTAATAATTAAATGCTTTCATGTCTGCCGGTTGAGTCGCCCTTGAAAATAAATAAGCTCCTTAGTTCAATGGACTTCAATGGGGAAATAAACTTCTGGACTGGTATCGTCCAAATATTGCAATGCTGAACAAATGCCTCCCAGGTTACTCAATCGGGAATACGCGAATAAGCATCGCCCCTCCCCCCGACTGCCAAACCAACTCGGCAGGACGCTCCTGAACTGAAGTAAGACTCAGTGTGATAAAGCACACGAGTGTGCACCACGCTGACGAGATTTTCACGACATCGCCCGTCGTGGGTTGGATCCCGACGCTGACGCGTGTTCATTTGGAGTTTGCGTGTCTCTCTTTCTGCGTGGTCGCATTTAGAGCATTTGGCTGCTGTAAATTTCCACACGATGACAAGCCACTTCGTTGTGGGCAGGTCGCTTCTGAAAGAGATATATAGCTCAAAATAGTAGAAATATTAAAACAGAACATGGTTTTAAAGTAGACAGCCAGGTGAGGACAAATAAAAATAAACAAAAATCAAAGCAAATACAATCAGGCGATGGCAGGAGGCAAGGCCAGCATGGCTAGGCCACACTTTGTAACGTTCCAACCTGGACATCGATTCCATACTCGCTGCTACACTCAGTGATATCCCGAGGAGAATAGAAGAAGCGAGGCTACACCTAAATAAACAAAAACCACCACCACCACGACGTGAACTTTTCACCTCGGATCTCAGTTGAGTGGCGATCAGCTTTCCGGGATTTCGTGACGTCACGCAGAAACGCGAGACGGGGGAGATGACATGACGTCACTAACTAGTTTACCCCCTCCCATTTAAACTTTATGTTAATGAGTCAGGCGCTGACATTGAGTGTATGCGCGTGGCTTTGCCCAAATTATGATTTTACCCGTGACATGACGTCACTAGTGGGGTACACACCCCTGGCGTCTCGCAACAATGACGTCACGTGGAGTGGTAAAGTGAGAGCGAGCACGGTGAGGAGTGGTATTAGAGTTTAAGTTGATTTAGATTCCTTCTACATGTGTTGAGGAATGGAATGCTGACGTCAGGTCACACTCGCCTCGGGGGGAATGCCGTCAAGGTAAAGTGACCTCATGCCCCCCCGGGGTATTTGAGGGAAGACCCGTGACGTAGACGGGGTCTTCGCCGGGAGTCAGAGGAGTGAGCGTTAGGAGAGTAGGGGGCTCCGGGATAGAGGGTTGAGAGCCAGGCTAAAGGGCTACTTTACCCGGCTGGCCGAGTTGGCTGAACCCTCGGTCAGTGCTGTGGGAAGAGCTTGATAGCTTGGTAGGGTATAGGGAACTCCCAGTACCCTTCCCCTGGGGAGATTAGTTAAGAACTATTGTGTTAGCCCCTTCCCCCGAGTTAGGCGTAAGCCCTGAATAAACAGTTTGGCGTCAGTCCCTACACGACCGGCTTCAGCGTCCTTTCTACCACACAACACATTTCTTCCTCTGTTGCACAGGGATCCCTTGGGTGGGTAAGCTCAGCTACAACAAGAACGTGAACATTATTGCGCGTGTGTACACTGTGTGACACCACTATCATCATAAGCATCAACATCATCGACATCATCATCAATCCCGTCATCATCACCACCATCATCAGCACCAACAACAACCGCAATTCGTCACTATGTGGCGCTTGTTTCAGGCTAAGGCCACGTGAAATATCAAACTCCCGCGTGCAAGAGGTCACGGGACAGACACAGGTGTCATTGGTTGACTGAGATGAGTGGCCGTGGCACCACCTGTGCCCCCTACTGTGCCAACTGTCTGTGCTTTAGCCACTCGGTGCTCCGCTCGTTGTGAGCGTCGCTCCTCTGCCCTCCGTTGTTGATGGAGGGCGACTGCCTCCAACTGCCAAGTAGTATTCTTCACGAGCCTCCTCCAGAGGTCGATCTTGACACTGTTGTTACCAGTCATCTGTAAGTCCACTCAGCTCCACATCCTCTATGAGCAGTGTTGAATCTATGGGCAGCATTGAGTGTATGGGAAGCATTTAGTATATGGGTAGTGTTGAGTCTATGGACAGTCTTGACTTAAAGCTTTCGTGACTGCAGGAATTCATATTTTATAGTGCATTGTCTTTCTTATAGTGCATTGTTTTTGAGCTGGACGCCTTTTGGCGTCCTCTAATCTAACACCGTTTGAGACGAAGCTCAAAAGAAAGCTGTCTCAGGTGTGGACCAATCCGTTTCAAGGATAGTGCATTTATTATCAGTGCTTTTTTGGCATTATGACCACAAGTATTGTGGTTAATGGAGACATGATTCCTCGTAAAAAGGGTTCAGTTTTGTTGTCAGAAAAATAGGAGAAAACCCTATTCTTATATTCTGGTACTGGTGTAGTGACTGCTTGTCACTGTATGGTGCCGGGGTTTGCGAAGTCACGGCCGGTAATGTTGTCATTATGGACAGCCGGGTTACGGGATGCAGTACCAACACTAGCGGTGGTTGGGTGAGCGCTGGTTCGCGCGGAGGCACCACGAGCAGTGGGCGGTGCGGGCTCCCTGTGAGGGAGCGAGGGAGCGTCAGCCAGCCAGGGTTACCTCGGGGCATCATGCGCTGGTTGACCTGCTGTCACGTGACCGAATGATATTGGAGGGGGGCACCGGTGGACGGGGAAGGTTTGCATAGTACCTTGGTCTCGGAATACACAATATCATGTGAGCCCACAGCGTTATAACAATGGTCAGCTACGGCAAAGGTCCTCCCTTCCCTCAGCCACGGCATTGAAAATGGGTCGTGGATGAGTATTCCAGCATGACCGATCCACAACACACGGCCAAGGCAACAAAGGAGTGGCTCAAGAAGAAGTACATCAAGGTCCTGGAGTGGCCTAGCCAGTCTCCAGACCCTAATCACATAGAAAATCTGTGGAGGGAGCTGAAGGTTCGAGTTGCCAAACATCATCCTCGAAACCTTAATGACTTGGAGAAGATCTGCAAAGAGGAGTGGGACAAAATCCCTCCTGAGATGTGTGCAAATCTGGTGGCCAACTACAATAAACGTCTGACCTCTGTGATTGCCAACAAGGGTTTTGCCACCAAGTACTAAGTCATGTTTTGCAGAGGGGTCAAATACTTATTTCCGTCATTAAAATGCAAATCAATTTATAACATTTTTGACACGCGTTTTTCTGCATTTTTGTATGATTGTCTCTCATTGTTCAAATAAACCTACCATTAAAATTATAGACTGATCATTTCTTTGTCAGTGGGCAAACGTACAAAATCAGCAGGGGATCAAATACTTTTTCCCCTCACTGTATCTGTGTACTTTGTTGAAACGCAAACCCAACAGTTTGTGTGTTGAAAGCGTTACGAGGATATGCGTATGCAGACAGGCAGTCAAAAATTTACGTTTATTAGGTAAGATAAGACATAATTAGCGTCGTGGAGAAAATATCTCCTTTATGTTACATTTCAGTGTTTTCTCTTGTATATACTATATTCGTGATTTCGAAGACAATGAGTTGAGGGGTATGGTTCCTAGGCTACAAAAAATACCTTTGACCCTGTATCACATGAACAACAGCAGCCACGTAAATGTTCTGCACAGGTTACTGTTAAAACAAACGTTCATCTAGTTAGGACATTCCATTTTTGACCATTTAATACAAAATGGTATGTACAGCAAAATCTCTATCAAGTACTTTACCATCCGGAATGCTCTATTAACCGGAGGCATATGTCAAACGGCAATATAAATATTCCTTCAAGTATCAAGAAAAATTCTGGCATCTTGCAGCATGCTTTAGGACGTTGCTGAGTGGTGGCACTAATGGAGTCGCAATTGCAATCATCTGCAATCCGCCATTGTGATTGTGTTGCAGGCTGCCTAACCTAATTGTTTCACTGTACTTGTACATACAGTACCACACTGTCATCTAAACAGCACCACTGCTTCTCTACTATAAACTTAGAATGCTATACAAATGGCTGGAGAGTAACCCTGTATAAGAGTTAATTATTTTGAATATCATAGTCAAAATGTATGCTCAATTTCTTCATTGAAAAATGTTTTTATACTTGAGAAATTTTCTGAACCATAAAGTATACCTCTCAGATAACCGGCACATTTGATGAACTGGCACCCTCGATTCCCCATAGATGCTGGATAAGAGCTTTTGCTGGTTATGCTCAAAATCAGATCATGCGTGTTAAAATTATAACTCTAAATTATCAAGAGACACATTGCCAACATTGAACTATTGCATTGAAATATACTGCATCACATTACATCACATTTACTGTACACATTTACTTTTCTCTGGATGCCAAAAACTGCATGCATTCTTCGAATGAGAGAAGCCAAGTGATAGCACGGTTGATATTTGTTAAAAAAATGTTCACAGTTCACATCTTTCCAACAGCCCTCATAATTACTGCAGCAATATTGACCAAAAATATGCACCATCAGCCGAACAGTGGATGTTCAACATTCATGGTGTCAGGGTCAAAATTTGCCAGATTCGAAAGATTAGCCACATCCATCATCGCTCCACCCTACTGGCAGACTCATGTCCACGTGTAGGTCGGTACTGAGTCACCTTGTACCACAAAGGGAAAGCTGCCACTTGGGCTCGTCGTCGAAGGATTGAGATGAAATATGATACACGCCGCTTTTAATTGAAGCATTTCACCTTTGATTAGCAAGATTGGCTACGTACAGTGAGAAAGAAATACAACATTTATGCACGCGTCAATTATTAATCCAAATATTATTATAACACGTTGAATGCTATAGAGCTTTTTAAATCCTTTATATTAAGTTCGCTTGCTTGCTTAGGACCGTGCAAATCTTTCGGTCGTTTTTTAACCCACTTCCCGTGATCCAATCGAGCTGACATTTTGCACACAGACTCGTTGTGCGAGACAATTAATGTTCGTGAAATTTTTTTTCCAAAATGTTACACTTTTTAGGCAAAAAAATTATTTTACATTTATTCAAATAGAACTCATTCATGGCTTTGGCTGAACGTCACAGTGTAGGAGCCCAGGGCGTGACACCTCCACAGGCCGTGGCGGAGTAGCGCAGTTGGTAGCACCCTCGCTTCCCATGCCAAAGGTCGCGGGATCGATCCCCGCGTCCTCCACAGGCGAATATTTTTTTTTACATTTATTCAAATAGAACTCATTCATGGCTTTGGCTGAACGTCACAGTGTAGGAGCCCAGAGCGTGACACCTCCATAGGCCCTGGCGGAGTAGCGCAGTTGGTAGCGCCCTCGCTTCCCATGCCAAAGGTCGCGAGATCGATCCCCGCGTCCTCCACAGGCGAATATATTTTTAAATCCTTTATATTAAGTTCGCTTGCTTGCTTGCGTGCTTGCTTGCGTGCTTACGACCGTGCAAACAATTCGGTCGTTTTTTAACCCACTTCCCGTGATCCAATCGAGCTGACATTTTGCACACAGACTCGTTGTGCGAGACAATTAATGTTCGTGAAAATTTTTTTCCAAAATTTTACACTGTTTAGAGAAAACAAATTAAACATTTAATTACCAATTGTTTAATACTGCAGACAATCATCTGACCCATAGGTGGCAGCCATCTCAAGCCAGAGGACGAGAGGACTCTCGCCGCCACGCATATAAAGGATTTAGAGTGAAAAACTTTGTTTTTACGGGTTTATTAAATCCTCTATTAAATCCTTTATATTAAGTTTGCTTGCTTGCTTAGGACCGTGCAAATCTTTCGGTCGTTTTTTAACCCACTTCCCGTGATCCAATCGAGCTGACATTTTACACACAGACTCGTTGTGCGAGACAATTAATGTTCGTGAAAATTTTTTTCCAAAATTTTACACTGTTTAGAGAAAACAAATTAAACATTTAATTACCAATTGTTTAACACTGCAGACAATCATCTGACCCATAGGTGGCAGCCATCTCAAGCCAGAGGACGAGAGGACTCTCGCCGCCACGCATATAAAGGATTTAGAGTGAAAAACTTTGTTTTTACGGGTTTATTAAATCCTCTATTAAATCCTTTATATTAAGTTTGCTTGCTTGCTTAGGACCGTGCAAATCTTTCGGTCGTTTTTTAACCCACTTCCCGTGATCCAATCGAGCTGACATTTTCCACACAGACTCGTTGTGCGTGACAATTAATGTTCGTGAAATTTTTTCCCCAAAATTTTATACTTTTTAGGACAAAAATATTATATTTAATTACCAATTGCTTAATGGTGAAATGCAATCATCTGACCCATAGGTGGCAGCCATCTCAAGCCAGAGGACGAGAGGACTCTAACCGCCACGCATATAAAGGATTTATAGTGAAAAACTTTGTTTTTACTGGTTATACTTATTTGTCTCCCGCTCCTGCTTACAGATCTATCCAACCTCCAAGTCCACACATGCTGACCGCTCCTAATCTGTATCCTCCAAAAAGTCCACCTCCACAAACTGCTGGGTTTCATTTCACTTTCAGTCCACAGCCTCCGCCAGCTTCATGCTGTCTCTATTGACTACTTGGAGGTTAAACCCTTGTAATGGGAAAGGCACACATCTGGCTGTCGCCTGATGAAGCTAGTTGTACTGAAGCGTCGTAATCAGATTGTAAATGTTGTGGCTTGGCTCTCCAACACACCGGTGTGCTGTACGAGTGACGAATTGGAATGTTCTGTTTACGTGACAACCCTTACTAGTTGGCTGTGTCGGGTAGTGGCGGGTTTTAACGACAAATTCATATATTTATGTAATCTAACCCAAAAAAACTCTATTATGGGAAAGGCCTGTGAATGAAATGGAACTTTTTTTATCCTTAGCTCAATGATACACATCTACTTGATCTCCATTTGACTCAGCATTGCCTAAAAAATCCACCCACACCTCCACATCCACAAATTGCTGGGAGTTGCCTTGCTCTACCTCAAAGTCCACAGTCTCCTCCAGCTTCACGCTGCTTCCATCGACGTGAAGGTCAGATTTTGGAGTTGAATCTTCATCCTCACATTTCACTATCACTTCACTCTTTGCCATCACTTCACTCTTTGCCATCACTTCACTCTTTACCATCACTTCTTCGCTCTTCACCTTCACTGATTCAAATTTCATTTTCACTTCTTGACATTTCGCCTTCACTCCTGGCCACGATTCAAATCTCAAATGTTTTTCTGGTTCTTGTTTCATGAGGGATGGACTCATTGCAGCACTTTGACTTCCACAAGCCGATTTCAGATTAATTTCCTGATGAATGTTTTGATGCTCATTTCGATCACCTAACTGTCTAAATGTCTTCCCATACACAGTGCATTTTAAGGGTTTGTCTCCTGTGTGTGTTCGCTGGTGTTCTTTAAGATATGATGACCGTGAAAATTCCTTCTCACACACAGTGCACTTGAATGGTTTCTCTCCTGTGTGTGTTCTCTGGTGTCTTTTAAGATTTCCTACCTGTGCAAATGCCTTCCCACACATAGTGCATTTGAAGGGTTTCTCTCCCGTGTGTGTTCTCTGGTGGCCCTGAAGAATTGATGAATCTGCAAACGCCTTCCCACACACAGTGCACTTGAAGGGTGTCTCTCCTGTGTGACTTATCTGGTGTATTTTAAGATGTGATGACTGTGCAAATGCCTTGCCACACAAAGTACACTTGAAGGGTTTTTCTCCCGTGTGTTTTCTCTGGTGTCTTTTAAGACGTGATGAATGTGCAAACGCCTTCCCACACACAGTGCACTTGAAGGGTGTTTCTCCTGTGTGTATTCTCTGGTGTCTTTTAAGAAGTGATGACTGTCCAAAGGCCTTCCCACACACAGTGCACTTGAAGGCTGTTTCTAATGTGTGTATTCTCTGGTGTGTTTTCATATTTGATGACTGTGCAAAGGCCTTCCCACACACAGTGCACTTGAAGGGTGTTTCTCCTGTGTGTATTCTCTGGTGTCTTTTTAGATGTGATGAATGTGCAAACGCCTTCCCACACACACTGCACTTGAAGGGTGTTTCTCCTGTGTGTATTCTCTGGTGTGTTTTAAGATGTGATGACATTGCAAATGCCATCCCACACACAGTGCACTTGAAGGGTGTTTCTCCTGTGTGTATTCTCTGGTGTCTTTTAAGAAGTGATGAATGTGCAAATGCCTTCCCACACACAGTGCACTTGAAGGGTGTTTCTCCTGTGTGTATTCTCTGGTGTGTTTTAAGATGTGATGACTGTGCAAAGGCCTTCTCACACATAGTGCACTTGAAGGGTGTTTCTCCTGTGTGTATTCTCTGGTGTCTTTTAAGATGTGATGACATTGCAAATGCCTTCCCACACACAGTGCACTTGAAGGGTTTCTCTCCCGTGTGTGTTCTCTGGTGGACCTGAAGACTTGATGAATGTGCAAACGCCTTCCCACACACAGTGCACTTGAATGATTTCTCTCCTGCTGATTGTCTTCGATCCATCTGACCAATTATGTACAGCAAAGTGGCAGAGGAACTGGCAGCTGAAAACAGAAAACAGTAATATCCACGCAATGTATGTCAGCATAGAGACATATAAATGTATATACATATATACAGTCACACGTGATATTCACAGATTACATATACAAAAACACTCAAACATTACCGATAAATAAATAAAAATCACCCCCAATTCATCACACAGGCTGTTTTAAGACACTTACTCCTATTGACGATCACCTCTTGGCCTGGCATAGCAGGTAAGTGGTCAGTATAATGCCTGGAGGCCCTAGTATATTTAATATCAATTATAACCCATAACTCTACGTACAGAATTTCGGTTGTATCTGGCTACTGAATAAATGTTAACTATTGCAAAAATCTCGTAAAAAAAGCAAATGGTGTTAAAAATAAAACTATTCGCATTGGGCAGAAATATTATAAAATGGACAAATTGATGTTCAATCGCAACTTGGAAGTCCGAAGCCAGGCTCAGATTTGCTTGAATGCTCGGATGGACAGATGTAATTTGAGCCTTATGTGCTGTGTTTTCCATGCTTATGAAACGTTGCATGTGTCGGGGACTGTACAAGAGAAGGTTCTAGAAGGCGTGCATTGTACTGATTGTAAACTGATGACCGGAAGGCACTGTAAGCATTATTCAATTAAGGACAAGCAAGTTAAAGTAAAGTGGGGGGAGGGGCGCAGGGCCGAGCGAGTATATAAGTGGGAGCGAGGCACGTTGTCGGGGCGCTTACTCGGAGACTAATTGACGACCAGAGATGGACGACATTGGGGCCGACCGTGGAAACCACCGGGGTTGACTGTTTAGGTATCAACTTGGTGGAAACCATCGGGGCTGAAGATAGCCAGAGCAATTACAAGTGTGGCAGTCGTTACACTTGGACTGTATATACGTTCGGATAAATAAAGCTCTACTCCCCTGAAAGTGAATGTCTCCACCGAGCTTCTTTACACATGTAATAGAAAAACCCCATTGCTTTGATTAAACCTAGGTGTATAATATGGTCAATATAAACTTCATTTGAAGCTTTCGTGACTGTAGGAATTACTCTTTGGTTCTTTCGGTAAAGTCACGTAGAAATAAAATAAAATAAATAATAGAATACGTTTTGATTGCAACACAAGCAATCGTCATCACGTATGAATGAATGAAAAAAAATACCTAGTAAACTTAGAAATGTAATGCAATGCAACACAGAGAGTCGGCTAACATAACAGTTAACACTTTACCTGGTTGATTACGTTCTTCCAAAGATTGCTAAATTTGAAGTTCAGTATGAGTTGAGAGGAAATCCTCCCCGTAGAGGTAGTTCAAACTTGATTTGAAGCTTTCTTGACTGCAGGAATTACTCTCTCAAATTTAGCAATCTTTGGAAGAATGTAATCAACCGGGTAAAGTGTTAACTGTTGTGTTAGCCGACTCTCTGTGTTGCATTGCATTACATTTCTAAGTTTACTAGGTTAGTTTTCTCATTCATTCATACCTGATGACGGTTGCTTGTGTTGCAATTGAAACGTGTATTCTATTATTTATTACATTTTCTTTCTACGTGACTTTACCGAAAGAACCAAAGAGTATGGTCAATATACTTTCCAGCAAATAAAAACTTTACATTCTCACGCACTGGAACGGTGAAGAATCTGGTGTTGTTGCTAGAACCATGCCTCTGGCTGCCTTCATCTGCTCAGTACAGATGCTTATACTCTTCACCAAGTACTTAACCTAGGAACAATCAACCCAGCAGAGGCCTACAATAAGTTAAGCTATCACTTGCCAATCATGTCTGCTGTCAGCAATAATACAACTTTGAATGTTGGCTCCATAATGCAGTGGACGAACAAATGTGCCTCCACTTCCCATGTAGATTTCATTCTTACATACAGATGTTTCACATGGATCATGAACAGATTATATAAAGAAAATAGGCACCATTCACCACTAATTGGTAGTAACATCATCACAATGGTCATGCCATGATGTGCTAATTGAGGCCATGTAAATCTAGAGACGTAAATGGCGTCTCTACGGCGTAAAAGCCCAATACTGCATGACTGCTATGGGGAGGCGCACATACCTTACCTTCACTTACCTGTCGATGGGGGCTCGAAGGGCCCTGTCACGCTGACTCGGGTTCCGTCGGAAGAGTCAGAGGAAGTGGCGTGGCAAGAGGCCGAGTGGGGCCACGCCCGAAAAAGGGTCAGGGAAAAGGCGGAGCCATCGGGCAGTCGAGTGGGAGAACTGGCGGTGTGTGGTCACGTCGGGGGAAGCGGGAGACCGACGGTAGTAGGGACTCAATGGGGTAGGGACCCTCTCCCTTGTTGGGGCCTAGAATAGCCAGAGTATGTTGTCATTTATAACTCCGTTAATGGTAATATATTGTGATACCTCCAATCTCAGTGTGTGCCTTGTCAGACACGCACTACATAAGTGTGGAGAACTTGCCAGTCTGTCATGGGAATGATCCAGGTATCAAGGGATGACTGATATGACTGGCAGATGCACCACCTGTGCTACCCACTGTGCCAACTTACTGCATTTTAGCCACCCAGCTGCTCCACCCATTGATGTGTCACTCATCTGACCTTATTATTGCTGGACGAATGCCTCCAACTACCCTGCAGCATCCTTCACGGGCCTCCTCCACAGAGGCCAATATTCACACTCCTGGTACCAGTCATCGGCAAGTTCGATCACGTCCACATCTTCCAATCGCTTCTCTAGCCCATGCCATACCCGTTTAGTCCCTCATATCTGAACTAACTTACGCTGCTTGAGCATGTAGTTTCTGAGCATGCGGGATTCATGACCAACGAATGCAGCCTCGCCTGCCAAAGAGGCTCACTGATTATATTCTGTACGGATATGTCAGGGATATGTAAGCTTCGAATACCATAAAGGAAGGCTCAATAAAGGATGAATCATAGGCAGGCCAGCCTTAATTGTATAAGCCAGCACAGATGGTTCTTTAAAGGAGTCCATATTTCACATCCACAAAGAAAGGGGTCATAGCTGTGGGCAAGAAGATTCAGTGATTTGTATGGAGAAACGATCCAGGCAGCTTCCTCACCATGTTAGACAGTCCATTTAAAGAATGCTGCTCGACTAATTTGAATTGAGACTTTAGCTGCCAAACCAGAGCTGGTTGTGAACACATTAACCAAGTATGGGAGCTCCTCCACCACCTGTAGAACTGCCTGATTACTCATTAAGAGGGGAGCAGGTGGAATGTTGGGATTACATGAAATACCCAGGCAGGTGCTTTATTATTTTGGAACAAATGTAAGGCTCCTCCTCACGATTAGATTCTCCAGGTACAAAACAAGAGTCCCTTACTCCATCGCAGTGAGTAGTCATTACCAGATCATCAGCATACGTAACATGGTTGACCAGCAGGAAACGATCCCTTAACAATAACCAGCCATCGATTAGTCTCTTATTGCAACTGTACCAAATGCATTTTTGTAGGGCCATTGTGAGGTTCTCAAAACTATGTAACTATTGAAGATACAGTCACTTGGTTATGGAAGGGTTAGGTTCCCGGAAACGATACATAACCCGAATTTTCCATGTCGGAAACTGAACAATTTCCCCCCAAAATCAAGACGAAATCCCATAGCCGGAAATAGTTGTGCCGCCCCTACCCAATTACTCGTTCGTTTTCTTACAGTACTGTATCACGCTATAGTCCGTTTTCTACCGCAACCTGTATCTCATTGCTGTACATACGTTCTGCACTTCCTATGATTCTTTCATTTCATAGAATATCTACCCTAACACTACCCAAAATGAAACTATTGGAAAATATACTTATCCAATTATTTATGAACACTATGAGACATTATAATAATTGTTAACAGAAAACAGTCACTTCCGAATATTCGTTTACCGGGCAATAGGCTAGGTCTAGACCTCTCCGATCGCTGTTGGCTGAGACCATAAGCAATCGAAGTGTAATTGTGTTAAATAAAGCACATAACCTAACTTATGAAATAAACTTCAAATGAAAACGATAAAGAGAAACATGGAAAAAACAAGATAGTTCTAAGCACAGAAAACCCAAATTAAGTAATGCTACAAAAGAAAAACAATTCGGTAACGATACAAAACAATTCCATTTACCCTCTTTTCCAGTCATTATTGCAATGCAATCAAGGGTGATATTACACTGAAAGTTACCAGACAATTTGGCGGGTACAGGATAATTACGGTAACAATGTAACAGCATGACTGAGTGCAGAGCGGCTATACACAACTGCCTTGGGGAAGATGCTGCCTGCCTTATGCCTCGCTCCGCGGTATTCATCCACAACCTCACCGTGCTGAACTAAGACAAACATTTCTGCATGCTGATTTTTTTTACATGATTTATGGGAGCATTTCCGTAAGGTTGGATTTCCGTAAGTCGGGTCTTCCGCTACCCAGGGACTTACTGTAATGTATGTGGCCAGAGAGAATTCCTGTCACACGCCAACGTGAACAGGAAACGGCTCCAAATCCTTGTCACGCAGCATTTGCCGGGCCTGTCCAAAATCATAAAAATCCTTAACGAATGTGAGCAGAGGGGCAGGGATATCGAAAACAAGGAACAACAAAAAGCCTAAGCCTCTTCATGGTACTTAGGCCTTGATTACATCAAGAAAGTAGAGATCTAGTTTCTGATAAAAAAAATCGATATCTGTGCTGTAGCATATGAACAGAAAATACAGGAGACCTTTGAATATCGTGGGGGTTACGTTCTTGGAATGTGCCGAGAAAGCCAAAACGGCGATATTCAATACTTAAGCCTTACCTAAACAATGGGGTTTGGTAAACGGTAAGCAAAAATAGGCATCACAATTGAAATAAGTACTGTACTGCATGCCAACTAAACTAAAAAAAACAATTGAAATGAACAAGTAGAAAGTCTACAGAAAAAAACACTCCAAGACATTAAATAGGATTATAAATAATGAATAAATACTCTACATACAATGATGACGATGTCTGTGCGTAAGTGGAGAGTGGTCGTGCCTTAGTTAGCATGCTGCGCTATTAACCCAGCGACCCGAGTTCAATTTCTGCTCACGCCCAAAACCAAACTAGTATCTGATTTGGAGCGCAGAAGGGTGGTCAACACATCTACGCATCTATATAAGGAACGAAACAGTAAGACTTCTCCACAAATCTGGCTGTCACCTGATGAAGCTAGTTGTAATTACTGGCGAAAAGTCGTACTCAGTTTGTAAATGTTGTGGCTTGGCTCTCTAACACATCAGTGTGCTGTACTAGTGGCGAATTGGCATGTTCTGTTTACGTGACAACCCTTACTAAGTGGCTGTGTCGGGTGGTGGCAGGTTTTAACGACACATTTATATCTTCTTGGTTCTTTCGGTAAAGTCACGTAGAAGGGAAGTAATAAAATAATAAAAATAAAACAAAATAAAATAATTCTCACGACGTTTCGGCCACAACACAAGCAGCCATCCTCAGGTGGAGAACAGAACGGGTCCGTCAAGTAGACAGAGTCAGACTCTGTCTACTTGACGGACCTGTTCTCCACCTGAGGACGGCTGCTTGCGTTGTGGCCGAAACGTCGTGAGAATTATTTTATTATGTTTTAATTTTATTATTTTATTACTTCCCTTTTACGTGACTTTACCGAAATAACCAAGAAGAATCCCTGCAGTCACGAAAGCTTTAAATCGACACATTTATATATTTACGCGATCTAACCCAAAAAACTCTATTATGGATGATATTGGTCGTGAAACCTACGTGTTAAACTGAGAATTCATTATCTGGCAATCAGTGGTCGAACGTTAGATATTTGTCCAAACAAGCAAAGATCATCGTTTAGTCCATGTTGTTGTGATAATGTTCTGTATTGCAACCTGTGTAATATCACCACCCTCCCTCAGCACCTTCCTTTGGAAGTCCATTATGCCCAGCACTAAAACTGCTCTTAGACTCTGGGTTGCCCAAGCTGTACAAATGTCACCAATCACAATATTCTGGGTTCACACTTTGTCACCAAATGGTGCACCAGCCAACCACTGACATTGTGGTTACTTCTTGGAATATTTAAGGCATAGCAAAAGCAACAAATACATTTCCACAAACACACATTAAAATACAGAAACCCGTGTGTTAGCTACCCAGCACGTTAACAAACTCCCAAAACACGATCAACAAAACCAGTAATACGAAAAGGCTAAAAATGCAAATAAAAAAACAAGGTTAAGTGTTAACTTACACTCGCAGTCAAATAAAATACATTAACACACGAGAATATTCCAATGCGCACACACATACACAGTTACCCGCAACAAAGACCCCCAATATAGCCTTAACAATAAGTTCAGGAGTGGGTGTATGGCCAGCACCACACCAGACTGCTTTTGTTTCCCCAGTGGCCATGTTTACACAGGCACTCATTTGAGGCCGAGTCGATCTAGGGAAGCCCAAGTCTGGTTCAGATAGTCACTGGTGTTGGTGGCGGTGAGTGAGAATCGAATTCGTGTTGCCTGGTTCGTAGCGCAGCGCGCTATAGGTTACATTACCGCAACAGCCGCCATTCACCACAAAGTGAGCCCTACCAGTATGAGTGCAAGGGAACCCACACCGACTGCAGAAGCTACTCGTCAAACTGCCTCCTCCTCCCAGTTTCAGAGAAGGTTTTGCCCACGCATTGCAAATGTCACCAATCACAATATTCCGGGTTCAACACTCTGGTAAAATGTAGCGGCCACTCTGATTAGTAAGACAGAGTTGTTAGATATATTTAAGTCTGTATTTAAAACTCACCTCTGTAAACTGGTCTTCATCGCCCACCTAGTTTCGCCGCTTACCTGAGCGAGTGGGTGAGAAGGTGACTGATTGAGTATGGAGTGAGTGAGTGGGTCATCCAGTGAGTGAGTGATTGAGTTAGTGGGTAAATTAAGCTTTATCCACCCTTGAGTTCTGGCTGTTTACCCTGGAGGATGTGTATATTTCATATTTTTCATACAAGGGATCTATATAATACCTCGTTACAGAGGCGTTGTTTCTTTGTGTCTCTCTCTGCTTGTGTCTATGTGTATCTCCTCAATGTGTCTCTGTTTTTCTCTCTCTCTCTGTGTATGTATCTCTCTGCGTGTCTGTGTTTATCTCTCTGTGTATGTGTCTCTCTCCGAGCTTGCATTTACATACAGTTCTCACCTGATGACGGTTTCTTGTGTTGCAATCAAAACGTCGTAATCTATTATTTATTTAATTTTTTCTTTCTACGTGACTTTACCAAAATAACCAAAGAGTAATTTCTGCAGACACGAAAGCTTCAAATCAAGATTGAACCACCTCTACGGGGAGGATTTCCACACAACTCATACTTAACTTCAGATTTAGCAATCTTTGGAAGAACGTCATCAACTGGGTAAAGTGTTAACTGTTGTGTTAGCCGACTCTCTGTGTTGCATTGCATTACATTTCTAAGTTTGCTAGGTTTGATTTCTCAAACTTCTAATTTCTCTCCCCCTGCCGCAGATCAAGTTCCCCCTTGGCTCTACATGCCCCCTGCTGCAGATCCCATCCCCCCTTACCTCTCATTGACATGCTAATTTCTCTGCCCCAACCCCCCCTCTCTCTCCCCCATGCCGCAGACTTCTCCTGTTACTGACCCCCCCCATCCCTCCCCCTCTGGGATCTATATAATACCTCGTCACAGGCGTTGTTTCTCTGTATGCCTCTCTCTGCATGTGTCTTTCTACGTGTCTCTCCTATATGTGTCTCTCCCTCTCTGTGTGTGTGTCTCTCTGTGTGCGTCTCTCTCTGTGTGCGTCTCTCTCTCTCTCTTTGTCTCTCTCTCTGTGTACAGTGAGGGAAAAAAGTATTTGATCCCCTGCTGATTTTGTACGTTTGCCCACTGACAAAGAAATGATCAGTCTATAATTTTAATGGTAGGTTTATTTGAACAATGAGAGACAATCATACAAAAATGCAGAAAAACGCATGTCAAAAATGTTAGAAATTGATTTGCATTTTAATGAGGGAAATAAGTATTTGACCCCTCTGCAAAACATGACTTAGTACTTGGTGGCAAAACCCTTGTTGGCAATCACAGAGGTCAGATGATTCTTGTAGTTGGCCACCAGGTTTGCACACATCTCTGGAGGCATTTTGTCCCACTCCTCTTTGCAGATCTTCTCCAAGTCATTAAGGTTTCGAGGCTGACGTTTGGCAACTCGAACCTTCAGCTCCCTCCACAGATTTTCTATGGGATTAAGGTCTGGAGACTGGCTAGGCCACTCCAGGACCTTAATGTGCTTCTTCTTGAGCCACTCCTTTGTTGCCTTGGCCGTGTGTTTTGGGTCATTGTCATGCTGGAATACCCATCCACGACCCATTTTCAATGCGCTGGCTGAGGGAAGGAGGTTCTCACCCAAGATTTGACGGTATATGGCCCCGTCCATCGTCCCTTTGATGCAGTGAAGTTGTCCTGTCCCCTTAGCAGAAAAACACCCCCAAAGCATAATGTTTCCACCTCCATGTTTGACGGTGGGGATGGTGTTCTTGGGGTCATAGGCAGCATTCCTCCTCCTCCAAACACGGTGAGTTGAGTTGATGCCAAAGAGCTCCATTTTGGTCTCATCTGACCACAACACTTTCACCCAGTTGTCCTATGAATCATTCAGATGTTCATTGGCAAACTTCAGACGGGCATGTATATGTGCTTTCTTGAGCAGGGGTACCTTGCGGGCGCTGCAGGATTTAAGTCCTTCACGGCGTAGTGCGTTACCAACTGTTTTCTTGGTGACTATGGTCCCAGCTGCCTTGAGATCATTGACAAGATCCTCCCGTGTAGTTCTGGGCTGATTCCTCACCGTTCTCATGATCATTGCAACTCCACGAGGTGAGATCTTGCATGGAGCCCCAGGCCGAGGGAGATTGACAGTTATTTTGTGTTTCTTCCATTTGCAAATAATCGCACCAACTGTTATCACCTTATCGCCAAGCTGCTTGGCGATGGTCTTGTAGCCTATTCCAGCCTCGTGTAGGTCTACAATCTTGTCCCTGACATCCTTGGAGAGCTCTTTGGTCTTGGCCATGGTGGAGAGTTTGGAATCTGATTGATTGATTGCTTCTGTGAACAGGGGTCTTTTATACAGGTAACAAGCTGAGATTAGGAGCACTCCCTTTAAGAGTGTGCTCCTAATCTCAGCTTGTTACCTGTATAAAAGACACCTTGGAGCCAGAAATCTTTCTGATTGAGAGGGGGTCAAATACTTATTTCCCACATTAAAATGCAAATCAATTTATAATATTTTTGACATGCGTTTTTCTGCATTTTTTTGTTATTCTGTCTCTCATTGTTCAAATAAACCTACCATTAAAATTATAGACTGATCATTTCTTTGTCAGTGGGAAAATGTACGAAATCAGCAGGGCATCAAATACTTTTTTCCCTCACTGTATGTGTCTCTCTCCGTGTCTGTGTTTGTCTCTATCGCTGTGTATGTGTCTCTCTCCAAGCTTGCATTTGCATACAGTTCTTACCTGATGACGGTTGCTTGTGTTGCAATCGAAACGTCGTAATCTATATTTTTTCATACGTGACTTTACCAAAATAACCAAAGAGTAATTCCTGCAGTCATGAAAGCTTCAAATCAAGATTGAAATGCAGTATGTTAATTATAATAGTATTAATATTGCAGGCATATTATACACACCAACATGCACCATATGCTTTTTTCTCACGTTATTTTTCATGAGTAGGCCATTGTGTACTGGCGTCATGGTTGAAATGTATGATGATACAACTATTTTGATGAAAGAAGAACATTTTCGGCAATAAGACAGGTGTTAAGATCAGAATCTTTAAAATCAGAATCTGTCTTCTGGAGGATTGTCACAGATGTCCAGTTGCGGCGGGTCAGAAAGATACAAAATCAAACATGGTTGGCTACGTACGGTGTTAAAGAAGTTCAACTAACATACAAAAAACGACAAGAGTGCAAAATAGATTAAAGGGAATCAATTCACGACAAATAAGTAGAAATGAATAAAGTACATAGTTCAAATCTTGACTTAAAAAGTTTTCTTGACTGCAGGAATTCATATTCTTTGGGTCTTTCGGTAAAGTAGATAACAAAAAAAAACGTCGTTTCGATCGCTTGTGTTGCCATCGAAACGTTGTAGTTTTTTTTTATTTTCTTTGAACCTATCTATGTGACTTTGCCGTAAGACCCAAAAATATACATAGTCCAATTTGCAAACAGATACCGATTGCAAGGCAGAATTAAGTCTGCATTAACCACACATGCTTGTGGTATTTTACCACAAACATCAAGTCTGTATCAATCACATGATATTTCTATTTACAAGGCTATTATTTCCGTAG